GGGGCGTAAAGTTATACAAGAATGATTGTCTTTCTTTAGAAGTGAACCACCTCGCAATTAACTATTTTGACCTCCCACCGCCCTTTTAAAGTGAGTTATCTATACGGGTTCATTGACAGTGTCCCTGTTTATCCATCCAAACAGTTTTCTTTAGACAGCCAACGATTGTACACTACATAGATGGTTCATTCTGTTTTAAAAAAATACTTTCTGTAATATGAGCACAAAGTTACAGACCTCACCACAAGCGGTGCTCGTGAAGCTTCTGGGTTTTTTTTTTTGTGTGGGCTGTTTTGGTCTTTTTAAAAATAAGTTAAAAGTATCTAAGATAGAGGTTTAGACCATCTTGTAGTACACGACGTTTACAGCAACACAGCGTCATTCTTGCCACCAAGTCATTTATCCGGGGTTTCGGATGGGTACAAAGACACGTCTTACTTTATCGTATGCCCTCTGAACTGTGTGTCTGTTAGGTTGCTTTTTAAAAATGATTCTGTGACATAAAACGTTATGGCCGCGGCTTTGTGTTCACAACACAGCTTTGATTTTTAAAAAAATCCCAACCAAACAGGAGATATTGTGTTGTTGTTGTTGTTGTTGTTGATGATGATGATGATGATGATGATGATGATGATGATGATGATGATGATGATGATGATGATGATGATGATGTTCTTGTTCGTGTTTTTGTTGTTGTTGCTGCTGATGTTATTGCTCTAGCTGTTGTTGTCATTGTTGTTGTTGTTGTTGTTGTTGTTGTTGTTGTTGTTGTTGTTGTTGTTGTTGCTCCCTGTTGTTGTTGTTGTTGTTGTTGCTATCGTTATCGTTATTGTTGCTGTTCCATATCAAGGGAAACATAGATATGTCACATTCTCGCGATAGTTATAAGACAGATCTACATTGTTATACTGTCATGTTGCCCAAGAGCTGTGAAGAAACCATCACCCCTGACACATTGGAATCCTTACAGGAGCTGTGAAGCTCTCAGCCCTTTTTCATCCATCTTCCTTTTCTTTTTGTTAAACTCTGCTTTTCATAAACCTAGCTCATCGTCTAATCAGTAGGAGGTATCTCGGTTCTATACTCTTTGAAAACGCCGAACTGAGGCGAACACCGACAGAGGAGCCGTCCGCAGAAAATCGGCATGAAATGAAAAAGTTTGTGCCTCAAACTGGTGACTTTGTCGTCTGCCCGGTCGCAGGGGAAGTCTCCCGCTAGGTGGCGTCAGGTATCAGCCGTCTGCTAGATTCGAAGCGCGGTAAACGTCACGGCTGTCAACGGGTGCACAGACTCGAGCGCTGATACTGATGTTTCCGGACAAGCTGTTTTTAATACGACTTTGGCGGGCTTTTGTGCTGGTGTGCAAAAAGAGGGTTTTCAATGCGGGAGGAGAAGGAAGGGATAAAAAAAAAGGGGGGGGGGGTTGTGTGAAAAGGATCCTCAAAATACGGAGGGGAATAGAGTTTCGAATGTTTATGAAAACATGGGAGAGAATAATGAACATCTTTGTTTGACTGCCTTCTCAGTCACATACCTTCAATTTGCTCGCTGACTTCTGTGTAATATACCCTGTTGTGGGTCAGCGTGTTGTTATTCTATACTTCTCCTTCCCTTGCTTGTCTAGTCAATTTCTAATCCTTTCATCATTTTCTTTTTACTTAAATTGTTGGGATACCATTCCGTTACCCAGCAGAAATCTATCTATCTATCTGTCTGTCTGTCTGTCTGTCTGTCTGTCTGTCTGTCTGTCTGTCTGTCTGTCT